ACAATGCCCCATGGATAGACACGGGCTCGAACTCTCCTGCCGTTTCTCTCTACTACTGTATTACTCCCAATAACAGCAAGGGGTATACTTCTCTATAAGAGGACACGGAAACATTTTATAAATATTAACAAACAGGCAACAAGATAAATCTTTGTAAAAAATAAAATAAGATCAAAATAAATGAGTAAATAAAAACTGCACTTATTTATATTGAATGTGCACTTGTACTTTACTTAAAATTTTTAAAGTATATTTATAAAAACTGTACTTGTAAATAATATAATACCAATTAAACAAATGGACAGTACACTTTCATGACTGTTTTAAACACATGTAAATACACATGTAAGTTCACTTCATAATAATGTCAAATTAAAAGTTTTACTCTAAAGAACATTTTAAATCATTCTTTTTCGATAATCTTTAAAGCACAATAGTTGACATAAAAGTTACATAAAAGTACAATCACTTTTATGTAGACTAACATACTAAAGCACATGTAAAGTATTGATTATTTTAACTGTAGTGTGTAATACTACTGATATTACATTAAAAGTTAAAGGAGGGGTGACGAATGTTTTATAAAACAAGGCCCAGTTCGACGCTGGATTTGCACATAGTTTGATACTGAAAGATGGAGCGATCCTAGCAATAAAAGATCCCGGTCATGATTCAGACCTGCGGGTGGTAAGTAAAACTGCATCAAATTTCTGTATTTTGTTGGCAGTCGGCACACAAGTGCTCTCAACTCTTTAGCTCCGCTCACAGTGCACCTCCGGGAGCTCGGCTGTTTTCAGAGAATAGTAAAGCTGTATCTTTCTTTTATAAATATGATAAAACTAAAGACTCTTTGGAGATATGAAGGATGCAGTACTACTCTATAGGTACTCGAGATTAAAATGAGATTGAGCGAAACTGTGTGTGTCCCCTTTACTATATATTAAATTTACTTAATGTACTTTTCATCATTACAAATGTGTAATTAACAAATATATTTAAATACATGACATACAAGTTTCAATAAAATGGCATTAGTTTACTATAAATGCTTCGGTATTCATTTTAAATCAGTGAATTTGACAGTACTTTGATTCTTTGGGGTACTTTTTTGGGGAAAGAATATGTGTCATTACAACTTTTAAGAAGCAAAACAAAATCTGCGACTCTTTTCTAAAAGAAACTAATAATCACTACTCTGTGACCTGTAATCCTGACCTTTAACTCTAGAGTCTGCTGCTTGAACAGATCTCCATTATCCGGGTCACACTCTGGGACCTGGAAGATCCTGATTTTGAATTTGTCAATTTCAGTCAAAATCTATGGAGACAAATGCAATATCTGGTGGTTTGTGTTGACAGTCCCATGTTCTCAAAAATATTGACATGATACACTTTAGAAACATCTATCTATGTGAGCTTACTCAGACTTTCAGTACACGCGCCTTCTCACCTTTGCCTTCATATTGCAGGTCTCTTTTGGAGTGAGGCTGTCTGCTTTAGCCAGCACAGGCACAATGTTGACCTTCTGATCCAGGGCTTTCATAAAGTTCACATCAATTGGTTTGAGACTGAGACAGCACAAAGGAAATTTGTTAATTGAACATGGTCTCTATTTTCATGGTTACTAAAATCCTGGGATAGAAATAAACATAAAAACACCTGTGCCGAGAAGAGGTCTTACCCATGGCCATGAGGCGAAATGAAGTACAGACAGCAGTGCACTCTGTTGTCTGTTATGTTTTTACGGTTCAGCCCGATCTCATTTCTGCGGTACTTCTCCATCTCCTGATCTACATAATGAACTGCGGCCTTCCAGCTGCAAGAAAAACCATGTGTAAATACCTTTTTGCATTTTTTATATTATGTGATTAAATTTCATAATTCTAAAACAGCTTTTTAAACATGTCAAAATATTGAATGAAGTGCTCAATAACCAGTGCTGTTATTCTGAAATTCTTATTTTTTGACCATGCAAAAAAAAATTGCTAACCATGCTTCTGAATTTGGGAGAAAACCACCTCTCAAGCAACTAGACAATGTATGAAACAAATAACTATGCAAGTTACTAAACTGGTGATGTATAGCTACTTTTCTACGTTGTTAACATCAGGCATGCATCTGTCCATATAGAGGTTTGTGAGGAAAAGGCTGTTGACAAGAGTGGATTTGCCTAAGCCAGACTCACCTAAATATACAAATGATATATTTTATGATTATATACAGTCCAGGAAAAAAATACATTAAAGCAGAAAACAGTTGTTTTAAAGTGTAATATTATTTCACAATGTTACTGTTTTATTAATTTTTTATTTTTAAAATAACTGCAGCCTTGATGGGCATACGAGACTTCTCTTAAAAAATGGCAGTGTGTGTGTGTGTGTGTGCATTTATGTTATATGTTTCTTACCAACAACCATCAGATTGAACACAAATCCCTTTTTCACTGCTTTCTGTTGGACTTGGTTTGGCAACGTCACAATGCCAACATATTTCTGGGAGGGACAGTAAAAAAGAATCTGGTTTGTGTACAGTATATCACATCATATATCTTTTTAAAGCGTAATGATATTACTGTTTTTTTATCAAATAAATGCATCCTTTGTAAACATGAGAGACTTCATCACACTTTGGCCATTTAAGGTCCTGGTGGGTAGCATGTTACACTACCTCTAAAAAACCAGGAGGGTCAAAGCTGCCCCCTGGACTCTTGGGTCTAAGAGGTGATTTGTCATCAGCGGGATGAGTCTTCTCTTCAGCCAGAGAAGAGGATGAGCCGAACATGTGAGACGAACGGATACTTTCATCTTTGTCCTCTGCTTCAGTGGAGTCACAAAGAGAAGTGTCAGGATCCCTGAGGAGACTCTCCATTCCAGAGTCATTCAGAGCTATGGAAAACTAGCAAAAAAAGCACAATGTGACTGAATGTGACGATTGGCAGCTTGTGTAAACTGAATATGAACGTTTTTTCTAAACCTTTTTGAAAACTATGTATGAAATATAAAACCTACCTCCCCTACTATGGCAGATATTCATGAAAATATGATGTGGCATGGGAAATAGACAAAAATGAATAACAATTAATTTTAGAAAGTAATTTCCTTGACAACACCAACTGTATATAGCACACATATTTGTGCTACAACAGCAATTTACTGCTAAGAATAAATAAGAATGTTCACCAACATAAAAATTGACAGATATGTTACCTTGAAAGTTAATGTCCTCAATCTGTAAACCTATAGTGGATGTTAGATAGTGTAAATATTTAATAGATGCTGTTAGACTTTTGTTTTGTGAGAGACCCTAAGTGATGGATGTTTAAATAGTATTTTCCTTTAACGTTCGCTTAATACATTCATTTGACTTAATACCCAACATATACAGTGTATAGGCCTACATCAGAGAACGAATTCAGGCTAATATAAACATTTATATTCATATTTGACTTCATTTCTGGGCCTTCTGGGAACCGTAAGGTGGTTTAAATATAGTAATTACTCTTAGGATTTAGTTAAAGTCATTCAGTTTCAACCCGATATCCAAATGTTTGCTCATTTAACGTTAGTTATCCAGATATGTCGTTGCTTCTAGCTATGAAATGAGTGAAACTAACCGTTATTACATAGCGTAAGTTTATTGATATTAATAAATACTCACTGTGCAAATCCATTATGCTCCTCAACTGTTGAGAAATAGTAGTTTTGCCTAGACAAATGAGTAAAGCGATGACCTGTCGTCAACCAGCACATTCATCGTTACAATTACGGTTGAAAAAATACAACAAGAGTTTATCAACTGTAAAATATCCAACGGACAGTGGTAAACGTGTAAAATAATAGTAAATCTATGAAAATGGTATTATTTCCTACTTGTTAAAGGGGATCTGTTTCGGTGACTGAACTAAACCGTTAAACTGGCTCAAATGAAATCAAATGAAAACATGACTTTTATTCGTTATGTCAGGTGGAGCTTTCACCTGAGTTTCACAGTATAACACAAAATTAGGCATACATGAATGTAAAATAATAGTCTGATATTAATAATAACAAAAAAGTCTACAATCGTACATAGAGACAACAAAAAGACAATTACAACAGTTAACAGATCCGCTAGAAATATTAGGCTACTCATACATTTTATTTAGCATTTTAGCTTTCTCTTGAACAATCTATTAGCACCTTTGTGTCTGAGACCAGTACAAATAGTACAAAATGATTGCAGCATATTGTACTACCGAAACCTTCTAAAAAAAAATTTTTTTAAATACATAATTACATAATGCCTACATAATGTCTTTGCATTACATAGCAAAACATGAACATTCAAAATTAAGAAAAAAAAGTAAAAGTCACTGCAAAAATGGCTCAGAAAAGTATTTAACTACATTCATACATTTTTAAGCGGGGCCACTGTAATAGTCTTGAGGATTTGATGACATGGGGTCTGTTGCATAACCTTAGCCTCTGTGTTAAGATTGTGTCTTAAGAACTAGTCTGACCAACTAGCAGTTAGCAAAGGATAATGAGTCTTATTTCTGTCAGGACCACTATCGTCAAAGATGACTGACAATTAGAATACAGTTTGGATTGGCGGTATGGTTCTGTTCTGGGCAAGAACTCCCTGCGCATCCATGCAGCCTAGCAGCCTAGCAGGGAGAGCAGCGATAACCCCCCCCAGGGTAAACAGAACAGAACCAACATGAATGTATTGCAGATATCATAAAGTTTCAAAATTTAATGTAACATTTAAGAAATTAGTCCGATTCAATGAGCATCAGAAGGCTGAATCCTGACTGACGAGAGGAGTTGGGGATGGAGGGGGGTAATTAGCTATTGAGCAATGCGAAAGCTGGTGATAATACTGAAGGACCTTATATATGAGTGCTGTGATAGGTGTCGCATTCCTATAGGTAGACATGGATCAGCTGAGAGTCAGCTGATGCGAGCTTGACTAATGTGGCCTGCCAGAACTGACGCTACGCTTGATTTTTCTGATTCAAAATAAATTTAAAAAATCTAGGTTTTAATGTAATAGACTTAAAAAAAAAATTTGTAACGTTCAGACTAACTTGTACAACTAGTCTTTTATGCAACTGCCCACAGATCACATGAAGTCTCAGCTTCGGCCTAAAGCTGAATTCTCCATCTGTTTCGAAGGAATCCCATAAGTTTGTTTTGACTGGCTGTGGTTCTCCCAAAACGCTTGGCGGATTTGATCTAGTTCTGACATCAGAGGAAGTCTAATCTCCATGTGCATCATTAGATTCTCCAGCCACTCCTCTAATTTAGCAAAACTGGGACTATAGAAAAAATAGAGAGAAAAGGCCACGTTTCAGCATATGAGATTTTGTTTATGGTAAGTTTATGTAGATGACAAATGTAAATGACAGTCACCGTTTTTCAGCCTCCAAGGCACAACAAAGAACCGCAATGGGAAAGAAAGCCACAGGGCAATCTTTGGACCAGTAGCGCTCCAAATATTCATTCACATTCAGTCCAAACTCCTGTGTGCGAGGGAGGTCATCCGGATCGGCATATACTCTTCCGATAATCTGCCATGAGGATGGAATATACATATACTGTATGTTCAATTACATTTATATCAAAATTTGGACTAAAGGTAGAGAAATATGTAAGTTCACCTCACAAACAACAATCCCAAATGAGAAAATGTCCACATGTTCATCGTAGATTTTTCCTGCGGGTGAGAAATAACATGTAAAAAAAACAAATCACAAAACTGAAAAATGGTCAATCTTTTAATTGTTATATCATACGGCTCACCTTGGATCATTTCTGGTGCCATCCAATAGGGGTTGCCCACCACCGTATACCGTTTTTTACGACCAAGCTTGTTCAGTTTGGACACTTGTCCAGGAGAGGAGCTCTTTTCTTCCTTTACAAGCTGGGCCAAACCAAAGTCTGCAACTACCACTGTTTGGTTCTGTGAGGAAAAACAGTACTGTCACACAATTCAGTTCAGTTGGAGACATGCTCTACGTTTAGAAGTACTGAGATGTATTCTGACCTCTCGGACAAAGCAGTTGTGCGAGTTCAAATCCCGATGAATGACATTCATTGAATGTAGGTAAGCCTGGGTTGGACAGAGAAAATTCATGTATTTGGATGCTAACTATAGCTTCAGATTCATATTATTTGTCAAAACATGTCTTTGTATTAAAGAATTCAGCAAGAGTGTAGAGATCTGATGTAAAGATTTCCATCTTTTCTTGCATTGTTGGATTGCTCTTCATTACGTACCATTCCAGCGGCAATGTCCTTGGCATAGCTCACTCTAAGTTTCCAAGGGTGATCCTTGTCATAAATTATGACAAAAAATTAGTTTATTAACTCAGAACCATAACAGCATGCTTTTCGGCAAGAATCTATGGACTATATACAACAACAAACCATTTTCTGAATAGTGTCCCTCAGCGTTCCTCCTTGCACATACTCAGAGATCAGGTTCAGTCGTTTGTCTTTGTAGAGAATGCCGATAAACTTTAAGACATTAGGATGCTCGAGGCATCTCATTACTTTGACCTGGAGCCAAAAATGTTTAGATTAGCAAACAATCCATTTGCTCTTTAGTGGTCTGAGAAAGAAAAAACTACAACAGACCTCTTTCCGGAATGTCTTCTCAGTCTCTTCATCGAATTGAAGAAGTTCCTTAATCACCATGACCTCACCTGTTTCCGAATGCGTCACCTGACAACCCAAAGGAAGCCGTTAATTCCTTCATTCCGTCAGTCTGTGATCTCAAGTGATACTCAATGTGATCATTCAGACATATTGCTTTACCTTTATGGCTTGTCCAAAACAACCTTTTCCCAACACTTCCCCATATATTAGGTCAGAGGGTCGGAAGATACGTTGTGTTTTGTCAGTGGCGTCAAAACGCAGAGACTCTGATCGATTAATGTCTCTTCTATGGGAAAGAAGTGCAGCGTGCCGTTGCGAGCACGGAGCTTTATCAATACTGCAGCTGCGCCTACAGAGGCAGACAAATAGAAATGAATAATGCTAGTAAGAGCATGACAGAAATATGACCTTTTTAATTATTTGGTGCTTTTTTTATTATCTTACTAAACCAGTAATTAAAACTAAACCAGTTTTATGTTTATGTATAACATTTGACACCTACAACAAACCTGTATGCAGGTTCTTAAAAATGACTTTCTGACTTTTGATCAAATAACATTTTATACATTTTCTTATGTTTAATTTTAGCCCTGTTATCCAGCAAAAACCTCTAAAAAATCAGCTTACAGTACATGAAAAGATTTCAAGACTTGTTTCCAAAGAACATTCTTGAATTAATATATGTGACTCTGGACCACAAAACCAGTCTTAAGTCGCTGGGGTATATTTGTAGCAATAGCCAACAATACATTTTATGGGTCAAAATTATCGATTTTTCTTTTATGCCCAAAATCATTAGGCTATTAAGTAAAGATCATGCTCCATGAAGATATTTTGAAAATTTCCTACCATACATATATCAAAACTTAATTTTTGATTAGTAATGTGCATTGCTGAGGACTTCATTCGGACAACTTAAAAGTGATTTTCTCAATATTTCGAATTTTTTGCTCCCTCAGATTCCAGATTTTCAAATAGTTGTATCTCGGCCAAATATTGTCCTATCCTAACAAACCATACATCGTTGGAAAGCTTATTTATCAGATTTCAGGTGATGTATAAATCTCAATTTAAAAATACTGACCCTTATGACTGGTTTTGTGGTCCAGGGTCACATATGTTCATGGTCTATTGGCAAAATGTATTTTTTTTTCTTGTTTTAAGTATACATTTTTAACACAAATTACCACAGGAGTGAATAAATTAATTTATTTAATGTGCATTCTCTAAAAAATGTAGCCTTTTTTTGCCTCTCAAAAAAATGAATGTTGCTTAGATGTTTAGAAATGACTTTGTTTGCAGTGTAGTATTACATGTAATAAAGTCTAATAGTGCCATAATTCTTACAGAATATTTCTGGATCTAGGGATTATTCGACTGTTCCAGGGAAGGGGAAAGAAACCTAGTTTTCCAGGCTGGTCCAGTTCTTCTCCCAGTAGGCCAGATAAGTCTTCATGTTTTGCGAGTTCTTTAGGATCATGTTCAATTGTGATTTGTAACCAGTGCTCTGTATCATGAATCACCAGATCCATCTGTTAAAAAAGCCGAAATATAAAGGGTAACAGGTGAAATGTCCAAATTATTGTTATCTAATCTGAGATAAAGGACTGACCTCATTGAGTGGAATGTTCTGGACAGAAATTCCATTGATCTCAAGAATCCTGTCTCCAACATGGATCAAAGGCTTAACTTCAGGGCTCAGGTTGTGCATGTCCAGTCTGAATTTTTTTATATCAATATTAATTGAATGCTATCATTAATTTAACAATTTTTATAATAAAATCATGTTTAGTGGCCCTATATTTTTGCTCAGGTGTAACTGTGTCTAAACTGACAACTTACTGAGATACAGTGATCAAAGGGCCTGTGTCCTTCTGCTCCACTGTGAAGGATAAACCTCGCCTGCTTTCTGCAGAAGGAGGAAATGACATCGATGTCACTGTGTGAGAAAGCCGTGAACATTTTGCTGCTGAGTGTTGCATTGACACCTTCTGGTATCCACATTGTCCGCTATGAGAGAAGAAGAAGAGAACTCATTAACTGAGGTACTTTCCCATCAAAATGCTTAGCAATTAGCAAGTAGTGCATGTTTTGACAAAACCAACCAGTATAAATTGGCATAATCCACTAGAGTGAAAGAATCACCATCTCCAATAACCATGCCACAGCTTTCACAGAGAAAACACTCGGGATGGTATTTATGCTTCCCAGCCACCTGCAGAGATGGAAGGAAGAGGCAGCGTTATTTTCAAGTACAGTTTATCTTGAATTCAGCTGAAACAGTAAGGGAGGAGGTGAGGTGGGACAGGGTGGATGACATCATTCTACAGAAGTGAAGCAGCACAATGGAAGGAAGCAAGATTGTGAGTGGGAGGGGTCGCCTGGCCTCAGGTCACAGCAGGAAATACTGACAAAACACCAAAACCTCCAAGTGAACCCTTTCAAGATAAGAGAGATCAAATTACTGTAACCATTTAGTGAGTGAATTGTTGTTTGATTGTGCAGTCTACTAAAGGAATGCATGTATTCATGAATCCACTAGGTTCTTGCCCAGTGTTTTAGTATCTTTAAAAAAAATGAAATGTCACATGTTGTTGTAGTAAACGCTCTGTTGCTTTCAGTGTAGTGTAAGTGCTTAGCGGCACTCAAAGATGGCCATGCTGCTTTCTATGCATCATTTACAACAGCTGATAATTGCTGCAATGGGCGATTTAAAAATTCTATACAATTTTAACAAAAAAAATTTAAATATCAAACTAAAAACTAAAATCAGTCATTTTAAATGCTGTAAGTCAATTTAAGCATCACAACAAAAAGGCGTATTCTTTTTGAGATTTGCTAAAGATTACATTTATAACAGAGTAATCAATGTTTTGAAAGTTTAAGTTTGAGCAGTAAATGACAACAAAAGTAAACCGAAATGTAAAAATAGAAGAAATGAGCATGCACATATAAATATCCAATATTGGCCAATGCAGATAAAATCTATAATGAAGGCTACACTTTAAATTGTTTTTTTTTTTAAGTTTACGTAAATAGAACACACTATTAGAGCATGTTCTTCTGGAAACTTCTATTTCAGTCTTTCACCTTCAAAACGTAATGTTAAATTCAATGTGTTACTGTTTTTTTTTTTAATTAGATGTGAAATTTGCACAAATTAAATCCTAAACCTTTTTTTTTTCAGTCTATGTGGTACCAAAATATTGAGCATCAAGTTTGTTTTACTAAGCTAATATTTCTCCTTCATTTTTAATGTTATGAACTGATTTGTCAATGTTGTGTTCTTACCATAATGAGACCGGTGGTGATAGACTCTGAGCAGCCGTGGCATTGCTCCCCAAATCGTGACCAGTAATCTTTCTTACAGAAGAATTGTCCATCTCTTTCATAGTACCAGTGAGAAAGAACCAAATTACATACACAACACCTAACACAGAGAGAGAGAGAGAGATATAGGAAAACTTGTATATTTATGTACTTATTTATTGCATATTTCACAAAACTTAAAAGGGTGTTGCATTAAAGTTTTGTGCTAAATCGGGTCACTTGAATAAATGTACAATCAGATCAGATTATTAACTACTGTTAGAGTAAGATTCAGCTGAAGTGAATATAAAATGCTAGAGCCAGGGGCGTTTTCTTTCTTGCTGCATCTGAGCAGGATGCCTGTCATGTGTTCCACAGCTGGCGGTTATCTGCTCTTTTCCTTTCATTCAATAAAACACAGCCGTTTCACGGAAACACATGCACATTATACATACAAACACACTCATGTACACACACACACACACACACGTAAGCACACACACCATGTAGTTTTAAACAAAGAGCAGAAAAGCAGAATAACAAGAAATTGTTGTTTAATTCTATGGTTGACAGGGGTGTAAAGTACAGTATTTTACTTCATAATTAAGTATTATTTTGGAAAATCTGAGCTTTACTTGAGTGCTATTGAAATTTACACTTTTACTCAGATTACATTTCCTAAAATAATACTTTTTACTACATACAGACATTAGTCCTTTCCAGTCAAAACATAATTTAAGCAGTGTTTTGTCTAGATACTTGAGAATTGAATATGAATGCATTAAGATAAGTACAATTTCAGTATACTTTATACGCCTCTAGGCCAGATTAAATACGCTTTTGCACATTTCATCCACTAGTCTGATAATAACACTCTATTACAGACAGGATTCAGTACAAACTCATATATCATTCTTTGTATAAGTTTGCCTGTTATTGTAATGAACACATCTAAATGCCAATGTAATCATAGTCCTGCATCACTTTGGTAAACCAGATTCTCAGTAGAGAAGTGGGTGTGCACAGAACTGGTGTGAAACAAACAAAGTCTGAATTCTCTTTCTGTGTTTACATAAACACAAACACAATTCTGCTTATGTTGACTATGCCAAAGGGGTCTCTCAACCCAGCTCACAAGACCACACATTTCTACACTTCTAGAGGAAATAGTAACAAAGCATAAATTCGAATTGAACAAAGTCCCAGAATTATGTTATCTCATGACAATCTGAAAGTAGACTGTTGACAAAGAAGTTCCTGTTTTTGTTTTACAAGAAATGTAACGTTACTGCACGGCATGTACCACCATCACTAAAAACCACAACTGTGAGCCTTTTTCCAAGAAATGAAGGAAAAGAAAGAAATAAGACATTGAATCTTAAAGGAGTAGTTCACTTCCAGAATGAAAACGCTGTCATCATTTACTCACCCTCTACTTGTTCCAAACCGCTGTCATAATTTACTCACCCTCTACTTGTTCCAAACCTGTATGAGTTTCTTTCTTCTGTTGAACACAAAAGAAGATATTTTGAAAAATGTTAGCATCCGAACAGTTGATGGGCACTATTGACTTCCATAGTATTTCTTTTTTCCTTCTATGGAAGTCAATAGTGCCCATCAACTGTTTGGATATTAACATTTTTCAAAATATCTTCTTTTGTGTTCAACAGAAGAAAGAAACTCATACAGGGTTGGAACAAGTAGAGGGTGCGTAAATGATGACAGCATTTTCATTCTGGAAGTGAACTACTCCTTTAAGAGAAAACGTAAACTAGTAAACAAAACCAGTCCAATTTGACTTACCTTGCCTTCCCTCCTCTCCGGCAATACAGGTCCTGACAAGAATTGAGCATAGCAGCAGTAGTAAAGCTCTGCTAGTTTTCTTACTGTCCTCCACTCATTTCAGGGGTGAAGTGGGAGGAGAGGACAAAACTGTTACAAACACACTCAAATAGTTTTTCTTTCATATCAGCATATGCTGCTGCTTCCTGCCAAGTGTCTAAAGAGAGACACAGATCCCTCCCACTCCTCCTAACTTTAGCCCACCTTCTTCTGCTTTAGTCTGTAGCAGAAAGAATGCATACTGTCAGAGGATATAGAGTTAACAGACCAGTGTCACCTGCTGATAGCCCTCATGAACTACATGAAGGGGCAGAGACTCCTTCATGAAGAGAGGGTTTGTTTGTGTAAGTGCATTCATGCAAGAGAAATTATGAAAGGATCTTGCTTTGGTACTGCTCACCACCTATTTGTTTGTGGGTTACTTACATCCAGTCTTTAAACTTTGATGTAGAGTGGAACTGGAGAAGTAATTTCAATTTTATATTGTAAAGAAGGTTTGCTATCAGAATTATATTAATATTATATCAGATTATATCATAGGCTATACTGAAAAAAGTAAAACAATTATAAAAGCCAAAACAAGTAATGAAACATGAAAAATGTAAAAAAAAAAATTAAAAAAAAAGTAATACATTTTAAATTACTGTTTTGACCAAAAGAAACGGTCATTAATCAATTGTTAAAAATACAATACAACACTTGACAACTTCCCCCGACCTGACATTTATGTAAACAAACAAACAAAAAAAAATTAATGTTTCAGTTCAAATCTGCCTTCGTTAAATGGTAAATAAATAATATATAAATAAAATACAATATTAGAATTTTATTTTGGATGATATACTTAAAAAATAGTTAGGCCTAAATTTAAGATTTATGTATTTGAATTGTAATAAATTAATCATGAATTGATTTTATATAAACATTTCTGTCCAATTGGATTAGACCGTTAAACCAATAAAAACTAATGACATTTTATTATATAAAATAATATATTTTATTGCATAAAATGTATATATATATATATATATATACACACAGTGGTGTAAAATATATTATTTTATATAATAAAATGTCATTAGTTTTTATTGGTTTAACGGTCTAATCCAATTGGACAGAAATGTTTATATAAAATCAATTCATGATTAATTTATTACAATTCAAATACATAAATCTTAAATTTAGGCCTAACTATTTTTTAAGTATATCATCCAAAATAAAATTCTAATATTGTATTTTATTTACTGTATATATATATATATATATATATATATATATATTTTTTTTTTTTTAATTATTATTTTAAAACAATTTTCTTAAAAAAAAAACTATTTAGTTTTTACTATTTATTTTTAGAAATGTATGATAGATAAAAGGCCCAAATAAAATCAAAGGTCATACAAAAATGTGTTGTGAGTTTCATAAGTAACAGTGCATAAACGTGAAGAATAAAGGTAAACAATGCGAGAAGATTCACTAGATGAATTGCCTTTATCATACTTTCATGGTCACATTTGAATAGTTGCACTTATACAAACACAGATACAACATTCACAACACACAATGCTTAAAAAAACATTAGGTTAAATGCATAGATACCCTTAAAAACCCAACATTTTAATTTAATAAGAGTTACGTTAAAACAAACAAACAAAAACAAGGTTTTACTAGGGTCAGGATACTAGAAAAGAAACCGCTTCAAGTTCCTGAGGTATCGTTGAAGACAGCTTATAATCCTCAGTACTTAGATGCCGTCTACTGCAGTTACGACAAGCACTTTGTTCTTATAAGACTAAAATTGGTAAGCCTAGATCGCGTTCCTTCATGTGACTACGCTTTGAATGACTGAAGATGCCGGAAAAGACAAAATATGGGTTCATGAACTCATATGCATACAGCTAGAAAGAAAAACAGACTCCCTTTACTTTATGATAGGTGGCCAGAACATGAAGGCTAATAACGCTGCTTCCTCCACTGTCACAGTTCATCCTGAAATAGCAGCAACACGTCCCTAGATTGCATGTGTCTAAATACACAGCTAAGTGTAAGTGAACAACTGCAGCAAAACCATAAGAGATGCACAGCTGGAACTGCAGAATTTTAAGATGGAACATTAAATGGTTCAAAATAAAATCAAGCAATCATGTTAAACTTGTAGAAAACGTATAGCAACACAAGTAAAGTAAAGGGAGTTCAGGCAGTGCAAAGAGTGCCTTGTGAGTTTCACATCACATCTAATCATACGGCAGAAAAAATTCTTTAGTGTAAGTCCAAATCTCTCACATACTACACGAGGCACTTTTAAACTGTAAAAAAGTGCATTTGAGATCAGGCAGTAGCACCACTTGTTTATGAGGTCACTTTTATCAGCTGGTTTCTCACTTCCTCCTTCTTCCGCAGTATTTGCCTTGGCATCCTGCGCCCCCTACAGGAAAAGACACTGTCACCACTAATATTTTTATATTTTATTATATTTTCACGTTTTATAATATTTCAGTTAAAGTTAATTTTATTTCAATTAACAAAATGGTCTTTGGATTTAGGACGCTACAATAACCACAATACATATATAATAAACTACTTGTGTGCATTTTAGCTTTAGGGTCAATATAAAACTTGTGTGAGACCCATTTTACATGCACATGGAATAACATGCACTGAAGAGCCATTAATAAGACCAGGAATGTGTATTATGAAAGAAAGTGGTGTCAGTTTCATTTTGATTTTAAAGTTGATTCTTTGTGTTCTGTGGTTTGATTTCTTTTGGTTTATTAAAACAAGAACTTGCGCAACTAAAAGTCATTATTTCAGGTTTCTGTTGTATGGACAAGAGAAAAAACTGAGCGAAGTGCATTTATGTCTGCTTACGTACCTCTGTAGCCTCCAGCACCTAGAAAGCCTTGAAGAGCTGCATATTTGGCTGCTTTTGCTATAAAGAATCATACAAGACACGAGCAATACATACTTGTTGTTGGCTGTGGATAATGCACAGGTCTAGACCAAACTCTAATTTTATCAAGTGCTGCATTTGAAATATTAGCTAACACTGAGTGTGCTGAAATAGCAGAGTGTCTTACATTGCTGAGGTGTAAGTGGAGCACTTCCAGGTCCCCCTGCACCAGTGCCACCATAACCTACAATACAATATAATATAATCACAACTCTTCATTAATCACTCTGAACCAATTACACTGATCATTGTAATACACTGGTACAGTAAAACATCATTCAATGTTTATTTACACACCACCAAAATGTTGCTCTAGTAATGTTTTGATCCAGAATGTTTTGTAACGCTAATTTGGATGTCTTTGTCGGCTGTGACTTTTCTCATGATTTAGTTGGATTTTTTGTGAGAAATACGAAGTATTAAAGTAAACTGACTTCCATTGCATAGTATCTCTTGTGTTAGCGTTCTTTCACACACACACACACACACACACACACACACACACACACGGATTGCAATATGTCCATTTGCATGCAATCTTGTTGTGTACAGAACAATCATATAAATTCATGTAATTCATTCAGAACTGTAATGGAAAAATACTTTGCTCTTAAATTTGTCCCTCACTCTTTATTCTCATTTAAATACCAAGAGTAGCCCAAAAGTTCACCCAAAAGAAAAATTTCTTAATAAGTTCTCATGTCGTTCATCTTTGAAAATACAAATGAAACACAAAGAGCACAACAGATATGTCCAGTGAATGCTCAAACGTGCTTACTTAATGCACTAGAACCGATGAGGTTTGCTCTTGTGTGTCATGCAAGCACAATAAAGCCTCCACAGGAACCAGTGAGGTTGGACCTAAGCCTCACACCATTTTTGATGTGCTCTATGTATGTGCATTGATCAATGTTTATATGTGAATAAAAAGCCTGAAATGAAATCTGTTGATCAAATAAAGTGGTGGTCTCTCATCAAAAGAGACTCATATAATCATGTGATTTACTTATATGATGTCTATATGTACTTTGTAACGCATGTAGGTTTTGGTCACATGGACTTTCAATGGATGGATGAAAAGGATAAGATCAAATGCAACTCTGTATCCTGATCTCTGCTCTTTTATAAATTCAACTGAGAGAAAAATAAGTGTGGATGAGCCCATTTCCCCAACAGGTACAAGAAAAATTGAGGAAGGATATAATAGCTCACCGGGCTGATAGCCTTGACCACCCAGTGCACCCGTGCCAAAGCCTTCAGGACATTGAAACAAAGGCAAGTAAATATAATCCGTCTAAAGTTTACATCCAGTAAGAATTTGACAAAAACCATGCACTATTGCCTTATTATAAATAATCTTAAATGGCAATGCAACAAATATAACTTTACCAGTTCCTACTGGGCTTCCAGCACCTCCTCCTAGACCTCCTAGTCCTCCACCTGCTCCTCCAAGACCTCCCACGCCTCCAGCTGCACCATAACCTCCATACCCTGCAATAAAAACAATGTCAACATTATAATCATATGATGGCAAAGATGTCAGTAGTGGTTCAATTTAATGTCACCACAGCAATATCTGATTGCCGAGCATCTGCTAGAGGTATTAACTGAGGTGAGCAATTCTGTACAAATTTAGTACTTATACTCCCTTGTGAAAAACACTTGACTTTACTTTTAAAAACAATACTTATTGTGGAAATAACACACTTTAAAAGAATATAGTAAAGTGCAAACTGAATGTAATATTTTCAGACACTTAAATGCATTTAATTTACAATTAAATTAAAATGTATTATATTTTAAATATATATTAAATGCAACGTTAGAGTACTTTTTTGACCCATTTAAGCAGGACTTGAGTACACCTTTATATATAATTTCACTGTATTGTGGAAAGTACTGACAAGTATTCATGGGAAACTACACTATACTTGAATGTCACACAAATTGTATGTCACATATTTAAATATATTTCTAATTACACATTTGCAATAATGAAGGTGCAATTTAGTACAGGTAAAATATATTAATGCAATATAACACTACAGTTCAAATTAATAACCAAGTACTTTACGTGTGCTATAGCACGTCAGTTAACACCTAGTAGATTTATTTAAAAATAAAAATGAATAAAACATGATTTAAAAAGTGTGTTAAGAAACAATGTCAAGAAAGCAGACTATCTTTAAGTACACCTAAGTGGTCATTACTTTATTAATATCATATCTCCAAGAACAGTTTTTTAATATACTGGTATTTTAAGATGTGAAGAACACTGCAAGTGCATATTCAATACAATTATCAATTCTCTCTACCATCATCCAAGCCAGACTAGTAGTTTACCTTAGTATTAGTAAGTCATAATTATATTGATATTTTAAAACACAAGAACCTGATTTCCCAGGTTTCACAGCTCCAGCTCCCAGGCCACCACCTGGATATCTGGCACCTAAACCTAAAAAAAAATCAACTTTTAATATTAATTATTCATGGCACAGATGTGTAGTAAATGTAATTTAAGATGCACATGGATATTTTAGTATTTAATGCATTGTGACATTTGCAATAGATCTTGTCGTTTATATACTAATGATCTAATTTTAATTTTATATAATCTATTCTAACCACGTGAACAAATTTCATCAAATTGTATTGCACTACTCTCAAACTTATGTTTAATGTATATTAAAGCACATGATACCTCCACCCAGTCCTCCAACTCCTCCAGGACCTCCACCAACACCTCCTGGTCCTACTCCTAGACCACCACCAAGACCTCCAGGACCTCCACCAATTCCTCCTCTTCCAGCCCCACCCAATGTTCCAGTTCCTCCATAGCCTGATAACACAATGGAAAAAAAAAACGAAACAAAAATGTGTGATTATAAATTTGGTCTAACCTACAAGAGATAGGTTATTGTAGCATTAAAGTGCTGATTTGATAGGTTTTACATACTTTTAGGTGGTTTTACTGCGCCAGGACCATAACCAAGCCCTTTAAAAATAATTTATATTAAAATGTAAAAAAGTGTCAGTAGTCCAAATTTCAGAGGTAGAAACGTAATTTCTGTTCACTATCAAAAACTGCAATTTCTCTCTGGTATTGTTAACAAGAAATATACACATCAGCTGCTTGGGTGTCCCACATTACCCAATGTTTCAGGTTACCCTAATTAAGCCTTTTTAAAATTGTGGGAGGAATATGAGATGTGTAACACCCAAATAACACTTCAGAAACTTACCACCAATTCCAGGCCCTCCAAGTCCACCAGCACTGCCTGGGCCACCACCATAGCCACCCGGGCCACCACCATAACCACCTGGACCACCTCCAAAGCCACCGGGTCCTGTTCCATATCCGCCTGGGCCTCCAAACCCACCAAGTGTGCCTGCTGCCCCATAAACTTTCATCAAAGTGATAAATTAGTTATTTAACAGTCTTTCCAGTTCAGTGTGTAAAATACAACCAAACTACATTTTCATCAAAAGAATTGTGGATTAGCAAAAATGTTTTCTGGTAGCCTACATTTTCCTTGTTTGCTGCCCACTGCAGCCCCACTGGGGAACCTGAGGCCTGCAAAAAATTAAACATACAATTCTCAGCAAAACAATAACTGTCATAACTGGTACATAAAATATCAGGAATGTGGTGTTTTGTTTTAATCTGAAAAATATTTACCAGTCCCTGGTTGGATCCCACCGGCTCCTAAACCTCCAGCTCCTCCATAACCTACAATAGATTTACAAACCCACAAGCTAAGGCACAAGCTAATTACATTCTTATGTAAATGTTAAGTACACTTTATTCATCTCCACCTCCTGGTAGTAAACCACCACCTCCAGGCAGAAGTCCAGCTCCTCCTGTTCCAGCTGGACCCATTCCACCTACACCTCCAACTCCAAGAGCTCCAGTTCCACCTGTACCGCTGTAAACTAGAAGAAACACATTGATTGTGTTATAGACCTCATTTTGCAAACACAGAAAAACACAACTAATAGACATGTTACAGATCAAGATTTTCATGGTAAATCACCTTTAGGCGGTTTAACTCCTCCAATTCCTCCTGGAACTCCACCAACTCCACCTGGAACTCCACCAACTCCTCCTGGAACTCCACCAACTCCCCCTGGAACTCCACCAACTCCCCCTGGAAATCCACCAACTCCTCCTGGAACTCCACCAACTCCACCTGGAACTCCACCAACTCCTCCTGGAACTCCACCAACTCCCCCTGGAAATCCACCAACTCCTCCTGGAACTCCACCAACTCCACCTGGAACTCCACCAACTCCCCCTGGAA